TTCCTTCATGTCTTCCACCCCTTCTTTTACATCACCCCCACCCTACCCTGCCCTCTATTCCTTCTCGCGGTTTCCTGTCGCCCTCTTTATCTCTCCTGTTATCTCTTTCCCCTCTATCTTCTACAACTCTCTCTCTCTCTCTCTCTCTCTCTCTCTCTCTCTCTCTCTCTCTTTCTCTCTCTCTCCCTCCCCCCTTTTCTTTCACACTCAGGCTACCTAAATCTATTCTATCTCTCTCATTTGTCAACCTATCGCTTCTCTGCACAAAATCTTTATCTCTCTCTCTCTCTCTCTCTCTCTCTCTCTCTCTCTCTCTCTCTCTCTCTCTCTCTCTCTCTCTCTCTTCTCAATGTCTCGCTATATATATATATATTCTGCAAATGGAAACTGGACAAAATGCTACTGCAAAAAAATTGGTAACACATGGATATATATATATATATATATATATATATATATATATATATATATATATATATGTGTGTGTGTGTGTGTGTGTGTGTGTGTGTATACACCAAAAAAAAAATTTACGGCATCTGGAAGACAAAAGGAATAGGAAGTCAGGACAGAAGCAGTAAACATGGTAGTTTAGTGCTCAGACGGAGGTGCAGCGTGCTGACTGTTAAGAAGCTGGCCTCTCAGGCAGGAAAGTTGAGTTCGAATCTTTGATAGGGCTAGTGGTTTTGGTCTGCAAACATAGCATCCTATCCCGAACAATCAGTAGCGACTGAACCAGAAGTCCGGTCATATTTCCTATTAATCAAATGCTCCGCTGCAGCAAAAATTGTAAATACAGGCACTAATAGCAGTAGAGACTGCAAAAGTCTCAAATATGCGTCAAACTATGTGTATGTTTCCCCGGCTCGCTAGTGTAGTTGGCAAAACCTTACTTCGCGGTGACCGGTGACGAACTCCTTGTAGCCCGGGTTCATGCCCGGGGGTAGGCAGAAAAGCAAAATTTCTCCCAGATTCAGGGTATTTATCATGGAATCATGGCCAAAGAGTTGCGATATCCATAGTGCACAGTCAAAGGGTTAACAACTCATGGTTTCTGGATATTTTTTTAAAATGTGTGTGTTTATATGGATGCATGTTTATGTATATATATATATATATATATATATATATATATATATATATATATATATATATATACATATATATATGCCCTCTCCTATCTTTCTCACTTTGCCCAAAACCTCTCCGTCTTCTCCTTCTATATCCCACCTTGCCACCGGTTTTGCAACAGTTTGTGCACTGTGTTTATGTGCTTGAGCTTATTAGTATGCGCACTGTGTTTATACTGTGTTTGCGCGCGTGTAAGTGCACGCGATGGTTTGCCGTTAGCTTTAACGTTATCAAACGCATTAATACGAATATATGACAAGACATTTCAACCTAATTATTTCAAAAATAAACGCCTAGCTGTGAATATTATTCTCCAAATTGCATTAACATTTGTGTTATCCTTTAATCAAGACTTTATTTGGGAAGTAACACGTGTATTTAGCTGGCGCCTCTTAGACTAATTCAGAGTTTGTTTGTTTCTTCCGATTATAATTATAATTTTGAATATAATCAATTTCTTTTGTGGTCAATAAACTCGGTAAATTTAAACTGAATTATCAAAGTACGATCCGACCAAGCATTCAGAAGCTGACAAGCGGAAAATCCCATAATGGTAAACATAGACGTGTATGACACATCGGTCTTGCATGCACTTATATACAGTTTCACAGGAATGTAAAAAAATATAGGGGAAAAGTCAAAAACGTAAGTCAAAAATAGTTATGGATGGCAGGAAAATGTAGTTGGTGGTATCTAAGATTGTCATTAGGTGACAGCAACATCGAACTTTATGTCTCCGTTCGTTTGATGACGCTAGGTGTTGTATGTACATTCGCAACACAGACACAAAATGGCGATTATACTTACAGAGTGAACCCTCAAAGAACAAAGTGCTGTTGCATTTTTTGTTGGGAGGGTGGAGATCGGGAGGGATTGGGGGGGGGGGGTGGGGGGGAATAAGTTGCCTGCAAAGGAAATTCATAAGATAATGTTTTCTGCTTACGCCGACACATGTTTGTCCAGAAAATGGATGATAAGCTCGGCAAAGAGAACCCTCCTTAGCAAGACATTTCGCGAATGAAGCATAAGTTGAACTTGAAGTGAAAATGTAGTTTAGAAAACAGAGCACGCAGCTCTATCCAGCAGGTCTTTGAGGACTGATAAAACGATAGGGCATGTTCATCAATGCTTATGAAAATTATTTTGAAATATGAAGGGACAGTGTGTCTGCAAAATTAAATGGTTTTCAAATTGTTGTCGTCTTTGGCCTCTCGTTTTAAATTGCACCGAACTTCACCGCATTCGTTGCAAGGGATATCCACAGCGCAGCCAGCTGATTCTCTCGATCGCAGGAGAAAGCACGTGCTCTCTGTCTCTCGCGACAATCCATTTTAACTAAGCAAAATATATTTTGCCTTTGAAGCGAAAGCAACATTTTCGAGAATGAACATAGCTTGAAAGAACATGGTCAACCCCAGGGAGAAAATGAACATCATCTGGAATGGAAGACAACTGATATAACCTGTGAGGAACCGAACTAAACTGTGGAAACGGAAAAACCTAACATAGAGAAAATGTACGTAACCAGGAAGAAATCAGACACAACCTAGGAGAAATCGAAAATAACTTGGGAGAAACTGAACGCAATCTGGAAGACAAAGAACATACCCTCAGAGAAAAAAGGACTCTGGAGACAATCCATATTACTTAGACACACATTGAACTTTGGGAAGCTACAGGGGGAAAAAAAACATCCGTAATCTTAACTACCCGAAGCAAGTAGCCTGGCCACTTTGTCATATAGGTCTTGATCGAAACCAAAAGAGTGGGACAAGGCAATGGACTACGTGGTGCATTGTGGAATCAAGAAGTTTAAGAGAATATATGCCATTACATAGTGTGGGGGTAATACAGTGAACAAGCCGAACCAAGCTCCATAACATTTTAACTCTTTACTGTTTTACGAAAGTGCCCTTACACACATTTAAAAATGACTTACACGAATTTTCGACACGGCGTGGAAAGAAAGGAATGTCCACATTGACTGAAAGAAGATATATACATTACCAGTATGGAACATACGATATTACAGAACTTTTACCATATCTACTTTATCATACTGTAGATCACGGTCCAGAGGAGCGACAGCAGATGATCTATCAGCCTGCTCGTTTCTTTGCAAACCTAAATATCCATGAGGGAAAGTCAATGACATGCTCTTAATCCGGGTCGTTTTGAGTGATGCAAGCCACTCTGGTCGCAGGACACCAGTTAACTCCCAGTCCATTATGTATAGAGGTGACTCCCAGTCCATTATGTATAGAGGTGACTCCCAGTCCATTATGTATAGAGGTGACTCCCAGTCCATTATGTATAGAGGTGACTCCCAGTCCATTATGTACAGACGTGACTCCCAGTCCATTATGTACAGACGTGACTCCCAGTCCATTATGTATAGAGGTGACTCCTAGTCCATTATGTACAGAGGTGACTCCCAGTCCATTATGTACAGACGTGACTCTCAGTCCATTATGTATAGAGGTGACTCCTAGTCCATTATGTACAGACGTGACTCCCAGTCCATTATGTACAGACGTGACTCCCAGTCCATTATGTATAGAGGTGAATCCTAGTCCATTATGTATAGAGGTGACTCCCAGTCCATTATGTATAGAGGTGACTCCCAGTCCATTATGTATAGAGGTGACTCCTAGTCCATTATGTATAGAGGTGACTCCTAGTCCATTATGTACAGGGTGACTCCCAGTCCATTATGTATAGAGGTGACTCCTAGTCCATTATGTATAGAGGTGACTCCTAGTCCATTATGTATAGAGGTGACTCCTAGTCCATTATGTACAGGGTGACTCCCAGTCCATTATGTATAGAGGTGACTCCTAGTCCATTATGTATAGAGGTGACTCCTAGTCCATTATGTATAGAGGTGACTCCTAGTCCATTATGTATAGAGGTGACTCCCAGTCCATTATGTATAGAGGTGACTCCCAGTCCATTATGTATAGAGGTGACTCCCAGTCCATTATGTACAGTGGTGACTCCCAGTCCATTATGTATAGAGGTGACTCCTAGTCCATTATGTACAGGGGTGACTCCCAGTCCATTATGTATAGAGGTGACTCCCAGTCCATTATGTATAGAGGTGACTCCCAGTCCATTATGTATAGAGGTGACTCCCAGTCCATTATGTATAGAGGTGACTCCCAGTCCATTATGTATAGAGGTGACTCCCAGTCCATTATGTATAGAGGTGACTCCCCAGTCCATTATGTATAGAGGTGACTCCCAGTCCATTATGTATAGAGGTGACTCCTAGTCCATTATGTATAGAGGTGACTCCTAGTCCATTATGTATAGAGGTGACTCCCAGTCCATTATGTATAGAGGTGACTCCCAGTCCATTATGTATAGAGGTGACTCCCAGTCCATTATGTATAGAGGTGACTCCCAGTCCATTATGTATAGAGGTGACTCCTAGTCCATTATGTACAGAGGTGACTCCCAGTCCATTATGTACAGACGTGACTCTCAGTCCATTATGTATAGAGGTGACTCCTAGTCCATTATGTACAGACGTGACTCCCAGTCCATTATGTACAGACGTGACTCCCAGTCCATTATGTATAGAGGTGAATCCTAGTCCATTATGTATAGAGGTGACTCCCAGTCCATTATGTATAGAGGTGACTCCCAGTCCATTATGTATAGAGGTGACTCCTAGTCCATTATGTATAGAGGTGACTCCTAGTCCATTATGTACAGGGTGACTCCCAGTCCATTATGTATAGAGGTGACTCCTAGTCCATTATGTATAGAGGTGACTCCTAGTCCATTATGTATAGAGGTGACTCCTAGTCCATTATGTACAGGGTGACTCCCAGTCCATTATGTATAGAGGTGACTCCTAGTCCATTATGTATAGAGGTGACTCCTAGTCCATTATGTATAGAGGTGACTCCTAGTCCATTATGTATAGAGGTGACTCCCAGTCCATTATGTATAGAGGTGACTCCCAGTCCATTATGTATAGAGGTGACTCCCAGTCCATTATGTACAGTGGTGACTCCCAGTCCATTATGTATAGAGGTGACTCCTAGTCCATTATGTACAGGGGTGACTCCCAGTCCATTATGTATAGAGGTGACTCCCAGTCCATTATGTATAGAGGTGACTCCCAGTCCATTATGTATAGAGGTGACTCCCAGTCCATTATGTATAGAGGTGACTCCCAGTCCATTATGTATAGAGGTGACTCCCAGTCCATTATGTATAGAGGTGACTCCCAGTCCATTATGTATAGAGGTGACTCCCAGTCCATTATGTATAGAGGTGACTCCTAGTCCATTATGTATAGAGGTGACTCCTAGTCCATTATGTATAGAGGTGACTCCCAGTCCATTATGTATAGAGGTGACTCCCAGTCCATTATGTATAGAGGTGACTCCCAGTCCATTATGTATAGAGGTGACTCCCAGTCCATTATGTATAGAGGTGACTCCCAGTCCATTATGTATAGAGGTGACTCCTAGTCCATTATGTATAGAGGTGACTCCTAGTCCATTATGTACAGGGGTGACTCCCAGTCCATTATGTATAGAGGTGACTCCCAGTCCATTATGTATAGAGGTGACTCCCAGTCCATTATGTATAGAGGTGACTCCCAGTCCATTATGTATAGAGGTGACTCCCAGTCCATTATGTACAGAGGTGACTCCCAGTCCATTATGTACAGAGGTGACTCCCAGTCCATTATGTACAGAGGTGACTCCCAGTCCATTATGTATAGAGGTGAATGGTACCAATCAGAAGCAATTTAAAAATTTAAATATGTAGAAATTATATTCTTATGGTATAAGCCGTCGCAGGTCGACCCAGCCTAAAATGGGTACCAGGGTGGCTGTCCTGGGGAAGTAAAGACGGCTGGCGAAATGCTGACCACATTACCCATCCAGTTCGAGTTGGTCTGTAAAAATAGGGGACGCTATTCCCATATACCCAATGCCCATAAGGCGTGAAAAAGGATCTTTAATTACTTACTATCTTATATTCTTGGAAAACTTCGGAATGGATCGGGAAAGAGAAGCCAAATGATGAAGAGTCCGTGCACTTTTATCTCAACTGACTCCGTTTTTGAGACATTCAAACATAAGCATGACGGCCAAGAAATATTACTGACAACATATTTCAACTAACGCTTTGCTACCAGTGCCACATTATCAAAGACTAACGTACGCAACAATTAACGCATGCGAGGTAAGATTCCTTAGGAAAGCTGCAAAGTTTTAACAAACCGAGACAGGGTAATACCTGCCGACTGACTATAAGGTGACACCGTTCACTAAAGTCATTTATAAGGAGTAGATCATATGGTTTACTGAGTTTAGTGCCTGGCTACAGCCCTGTTGATAAAAAAAAAAAAAACTGGTGTTGCCAACTTCTGAAGCTGATTTGCTCACTTGCACCATAGAGAGCTATTTGGCTTCCTAAGCCATACCTTAGATTTCGAGTCGAACCAAAAATTGATGATTTAAAAACAAAAGGACTGTTAACAGAGAATGAAGAGAACAAGAAAACGCTGTCAAGATTTCCTTACCTCAGTACTCAAGCAACAAAGGCAGAGACTTCTGAAAATCTAGATGTATTGAAAATTAGTTCACTCTTTTCTGTGAGCAACATACTTCAGCCAGTAAAGGACATACCTAAATACTGTAAAGTTATGCAATTGTTACTGGCTACTGATACTAGTGTGGCGGAAGCAGAATATCAATTAACCAAAATATACTTGGTTAACTGGACAAACAAAACAAAAAATGAAGCGTGTTTGAGTGAAGTGAGATAATTTAAAGATACCGCAGAAAACAGTCCATTTTGTAAGCTCACTAAATGTGCCATGCCCTTCCTGATGCTATCCCATTCACCTGCTGACGTAGAACGAGTTTTTGGTGCTATAAATTATATCAAATTTAACCTAAGAAATAGGACGAAACTTAACCTTTTAAATGCAATCTTGACAATAAAATTTTGCCTTAAGAGAGTAGGAAAATGCTGTTCAACTTATCAGCTCCCTGATTGTGTATTTAAAAAAAATTTAACCAGCTAAAGCTTACCAGAGTAATTTTGAATCTGAAGCTTCAACTTCATTATCCAAGTTCTAGATATTTTCAGATATTTTTTTGTCCCGTTTCTAGAAGTTTTCTGTCAAAGAAAAGTGGCAACACTAAAGCTAACGGTGACTTAGCAAGTAATCACCCACACATCAATCACGGACGCGTTTTCTTCCCTTATGTTGAAAAGTACAAATTTGTTTTCATTTATAGAATGCCAATGTTTGACGAGTAGTTGCTCCCGGGGCTTTGCTGATGTCGGTCTTAAAGATCTCGGTATAGACACTTCGATAATATTGCGTCTGTCTGTTAAAACACAACACATTTTTAGAGTGTCAAAGACATCCGTTCTTTTGACACTTGAAAGGTGGTTGGTAAATTGTTCTGTTAATACAGATACGCCACGACAGCTACACCTTTCGGTCTTACACTTTCGATTTCAGCAAACGCCTTTTTGGAAATTCTTGTTGTGAAGTGAATCTACGGTTCCTCCTCCTCGCACCTTACTCAGATCTTAGAAACCAGACAAAAAAATAACCAGATTTGTATTGTTGCCATCCGTCCAGCAGTCAGCGAAGTCAGAAAAGGCTTCACAGTTTGGGGACCTAGCGTAACTGAAGTGATTGCATGTAAAAGACTGGTTAAATTAGGCAAAAAAATAATGCCGGCTTAGACCCATATAAAAAGGCTTCTCGGCTTTAGGTTAAGATTAAAGTGTAGCTCTGCTGCACTAGGTCTGGCCAAGAGGACCTGGATCGGTCACAATCAAATCACGGGTGGTACACAAACGGCAAAGCCGTCTCAAGAAATCTGCCGTGTGGTTTCCCCCGTTCAGTCTAGATTCTTCATCATCATCATCATAATGTAGCAGGTCCTTTGCAGAACGTCGCTCTCGTCACAGTCTGCCTGAAAGAAACTGGGTTTCTCGCCATTCTCCCGCCACATGTACTTTCATACTCAAGGAGTCACTTATATACTGTGTCCATCTTCGTGTCGGTCGGCCCCTGGCCCTCCTTCCTGATACCATGCCTTCTGTTATAATTTTTTCTAGTCCGTCGTGGCGCATGATAGGACTAAAAATTTTCAGCTTCCGAGAAAGGATGCTGTTAATTAGACAATCTTCCTTGATGTTCAGATCTTTTAAGATGTCAATATTTCTCCTCTTCTTTGTCCGAGATAATCTGAGAATCTTTCTATAGCCTAATCTGGATATATCTATAGTCTTAATTACCGACGTAATGGTGAAACCATCATTGACTGTCAATACTGCACACACACAAAACATATTTAAAACGTTGGGGAAAATTCCAATCTGGCTCTCCCGTTTGATATTCCAATAATATGTTTATGTTTATGTTTATATTTTATTTAACTGATAAACCTCATGGCACACGGGTGTAACCCATAAGTAATCAATTCTTCTTCTAACTTAAGCATGAGTCTGAAGTCTCTCAGCACAGTGCACGCACTCTGTTGCACCAGTGAGGATCCTGAAAATACTTAGGGTAAAATTTTAAACTCAAAATTTTGCCTGGCCAGCGCCGTTAGGCTACTCTTTTCGATTTTCAACTGCCAAGATATTTTTACGTGCGCAACAATACACATTGGCGTCTGATCTTACTACCCAGAGACTAGAACAAGTTACAAAAAGTTCACTTGGAAAAAACTCCGCCCTCACCGGGGCTTGAACCCGGAACCTCTAGCACTCGAAGTGAACACCATGCCTCGAGACCATGCAGCCCTCTAGCCAATAGTAGTAAAGACTGTGTCCAGCCGACGAAGCAGGAGAATGCTGGGCACTCTAAAGCGGGTGTAAGGGATAATTTTATCAACACAATATTTCATGAACAAACTGCTTCCATGAATTGTTTTGTTTCTTGAACACATTTGGCCGAGATATAAAAAATAACTGAATCTATGAACAAAATAAAAATTAACAAATTCACATTCGTGTTCAATAAAAGGGCAGGCTCAGAACAGTACAGCAATCAGAGTTTCAAATGTGCCCAGGTAAGCACACGGCAAAGCTAGACATAAACAAGAAACGTAGAAATAATTCTTTAAAACAACAAGTAAATCACATTTAAGTAAAGTTCCAGGAGCCTCTTTTCTCTAGACAAGACAGCAAATGTCCACATCAATATTAACTTGACAGATTTCTCGTAGCGGCCATGTAGCTTCCTTCAAGACACTCAGGCTCGGGGCTTACAAATACATCCACATAGCTGAGCAAGAGCAGTTCCGAATAATGAAAACAAATTGCAAAATTTAGTGTCTGTAAATTGAACCCGTTTTTACTTCCAGGTGACCTCGACACACTATGGGTACACCTAAAAAAAAAAAAGATGCGGTTGGTATGATTTCAAAAAAGTCTGTCATCAAATTCTGACTCGTGTAAAAATAGTTTAGACTGGCATAATAAGATCAATGCCCCTGAAGACAACCACAATTAAAGAATATCGATAAGGCAAATGTAAAAAAAGCAATGCTTTGATTTCAGCTTGAAAGTAAATCTAGACATGGACATGGAAAGAATTTGGCAAAGCAGACATTACTGCCGCCGTGAGGGATAGAGTGTTTAGATAATGTTGCCATCCATCTTAGTTAGTGAGTCAGTTAATTGACAACATGTCCTCATAAAGCATGGTATAAGTCAAAGGTAAAGGTAAAGTCAGGAGATGTGAACCAGCGTCATTGCACATGGTTGTAAACCATAAGTGCTCTGCCCCCAGTACGGACAGCGGATAAGAATTGTCCGCCTGTGTCGTAACTCTGTGGCTACAGAAACGTTTCTTCATTTACCCCAGAGTGTCAACTCTGGTACCCATTTCCTAGAGGCTAGGTGAACCCCGCCAACCGCCCAGTTTCGAACACCGACCGTGGCTGCAGTGAGTCGCAGCTGAATTTGAAAGCAAGCCTCTTATCGACTGCGCTAACGCAGTCAATGAGTCAATGAGTATGGTATAAGTTAATAAGCTCTCTGATCCTATCTGCAGTATGTACCCCAGCTACTGTTGACACCAGTTCTGTAATGGTTTACAGTTCCTCTTTGGTAACCTGTATAGTGATCATGTCTGGCGATACCTCCTTTGACCTGACGTTCTTGTTGTCTTTTAAATGTTGTCGGCTCAGCATCGTCTCCTGAAACACTTACTCGTCCGGCATCCTTGATATCACTGAGAACATCTTCCCGGTTCACTGCTTGTCCTCTACTTACTGTGGGCCTACCTTCAAGCCAATCCACTCATTCGTTCCGTCTTACTCCAGAGTATCCTAGTACATTCGAGTATAGATAAGTAGAAGTCGCAGGGACCTAAGAAAATGCTTCCACTTATCAGGATTTCTGCTTATCCAGACAGCACACACAATAGAGAAAGGTGCCGGGACTAAGCTGGTCATGTCGACTTAACCGAAATCGACTTATCCGAAATTCGACTTGTCCGAGTTCGACTTAAGTGGACTTGACTGTACAAAAATGAAACCAATTCCTGAAAGAAGATATTTCATTATCCAGCCCATTGTCTTTGAACCCACCCTGGCTCGATCTTCTTGAGCTTGCTCGTTAAAGTAACTTGGTAATCATATTTGAAGTGATTTTAACAACTGATCAACATCACGGCACAAGGGCAGTAACCCGTAAATGCTCCGCTCGCCTTCTAACTCAAGCCTGAGTCCGAAGCATTCTAAACGAAGAATTAGATCCACACACAATAAACAAGCTAAAATAAAATTTTACCTAATATATAAATTAAGAATTAGGTTCAAACACAATTAACGAGCTACAGTGAACTCGGCATTTTAAATGAAGAAATGGATTCACACGCAATAAACGAGCTACTGCTTGCATATGATCAGTGTTTTGTTCATTGAAAACAGCCACATCTACCAACACAGGTGTCATTGAATACAGCCACAACTACCAACACAGATGTCACTGAATACAGCCACAACTACCAACACATTCTTTTTCTTCCTCTTTGTATTCTTCTTCTACATCTACTTCTTCTTCTACTACTTCATCTTCTTCTTCCTCTTTCTTCTTCGTTTTCTTCTTCTACTTCTTTTTTCTTCTTCTTCTTCTTCTTCCTCTGCTGCTGCTGCTGTTGCTGCTTCTTTTGCCACTTAAAAGGTGGTTAGTACATTGTTCCGTTTATACAGATAGGCCACGATAGCTACACTAATTTGTCTGACACATTCGATTTCAGCAACCGCCTTTTTCGACTTTCTTGACGTGAAGTGAATCTACTGTTCCTCCTTCTCGCATGAGATCTTAGAAACCAGACAAGGAAATAACCAGATATTATTGTTGCCATCCGTCCAGCAGTCAGCGGTCAGAAAAGACTTCACCGACAGCTTAGACACCAATAATATTTACCATACATGAATAAATCAATTCACAACTTGGGATTTCTGAAATAGGCAGGAGAACTGTTCTCATCTTTCTGTTACCACTCATGAAAGTAGAGGCAAACAACAAAGGCACCAAGACACACTAGAAAACTATCTGACCGATAGTGTGCACTATATTTTAAATTTGGATCAGGAGATAGGGGTTCAAACACTTACAAGGAATGGCAATTCCTGTTCTGTCCCGGGAGGGGGGGGGGTGTGGGGGTGTGGGGGGGGGGGGGAGTGTGGAAAACAAACCTTAACTTAAACAGTTAGTTCTGAGTGTCCCAGTCAGATCATCAGGCTCATCATACCCCCTCACTTTCCCCTCTTTTTTCAACGGCCTCCAAGTGGATATACGGGCAATGAGGATAGTGTGTAGGGCAAGATAATATACTGTGATAATGATGTTGATAGTAATGATGATGATGATGAAAGGTTGAGAATACGAGCCAACTTCGTAGGATATACACGGTGGGAGTGAAGACGTGAAGTTGGAGAGAGATACTGATTATATACAAACAGGCAGATTGAAACAACAACAGACTAGTGTACTGATAACAAATAGACTGATTAGGTAGAGGAGTAGCGGCTTATCAGTCAGGTAAAAAGACAAATTAAAAGGCAGGCGTGCAGGCCAACGGACAGAGAGACAGAAAAATAGAGACAGACAGACAGACAGGTGGGCAGCCAGGCGTACACGCAGGTAAAATGCCATAAGATTCGATACGATACGATCGAAAAGATGCTGTAAGATGCGATAAAACAAGACAAGATAGACAAAAAGGCAGACAGGCAGCTGACAGACAGACAGACAGACAGACAGACAGACAGAAAGACAGACCGACCGACCGACCGACCGACAGACCGACCGACCGACCGACCGACCGATCGATAAATAGATGGATGGATAGATGGATA